ACCCTGGGTGCCGGCGTGCGCCACATGGTGGCGCACGCGCGAGAGGCGTTAAAAAAGTTGGCCGGCACACAGGTCCGCTCACGCAAAAACGCCGCCGTCCGTTATGGGTTAGATGGTTGATAATGGAACTGTGGAAGTTGAATTAACTGCGAATAGAAAAAAAAACAAAGAAAATCGCCAAGGAAGTCCCTGAGCAAGGACTCCATCTCTTTCCTATTGGAATGATGGAAGCGGCGGCCGGATGAGCTGTCCGAACTAGCTCGCTCCACCTGCATTTCGCGGCTGCAATCGCATGTGCACCAATACAAACGGAGACATATGAACCAGGACAACAATAATGAAATGAATCAAGCTAACAAAACCAATCAAAGGCAGCATGATTTCGAACGCGGTACGGTCTCACAAAGTCGAGGTAAGCAAAGCAGGAACCCTTGTACATTGGCAGTGGTGTAGTCACAATGCTTGCTCGCCCCTCCCCCAGCGTATTCGGCCCTTTTTTGACAACTAAACAAAAATTCATCGTAGTTACTCAGTACATGTTATCGGCACGGCTTCGTTTTATGTCTGTTCGGTACCAAGCTGACTATTGTAGAATGCTGTCTACTCATTGCTTTTCTCAGGAAGCGCCTGTAGTACTTCAAATTCATTCATCTAGTGCGTTTTTGATCGTTTTTGTTGGTCCATAGTGATCAATAAATTGTTACTGATTTTGATGTTCAAGAAAACACTTGGGTTAAAATTATCAAACAATCGTGCTTTCTATAGTCTCGTCATAAACATTGAGCACGCGTAGCATAATGGCATTTTGATTTTTGGAACGGATATCAAAGGTATTATAAGACTAGAGAGGTGAAAATTTCCTTGGAAGGGCACAAAAACAAGAAAAATAGGGTATATAACAAAGGCAAACATAATGGGAACTGCTTCTACCATAAAGCTTGGAAATTTTCGTGGACACGGTAGTGGGATCTTTGTTTGGGATTACCAGAACTCATAAAAATTAGGTCAGAGCGTGACTCCTAGTACTCCTAAATTCGGAAATGGTAAGCTCCCCCACCTCGATTGTTGGTTTGTATGGCCATGTCATGATGAGATGCGAACACTATGTATTTGACGAACATTCACGAACATTCCATGTTCGAGAGTGTCAACTTAGTGTTACAGTCAATAAAAAACCACGCGTCTTGATGGTGGATTCACATGGACTGTGACTTGTGTTGTCCGCATTCCCATATTATGCAGCATTATCTGGATGCCGTGGGAATGACGTTATCTACCACTAAGCTCGCGCGAACCAGCCCGATTCCCAAATATCATTCTTCCCTCCTCACGGCGATATTTCGGCCTCACCTTTAATAACTGGTGGAGAGTAAACTTAAAAGCTGACATGAGCGCTCAGATTGCACTGCCGACTAGCACCAGTGTACATACGTTGGTGACTATCACACTAGAATAGCTAGAAGAAAGCAAGGGCGATGTTCGAACGCGGGTGCGGGGATTTTTTTTTTCGAAGAGGCAAGTGCTTTGGCGAATACATTCCATCGCTAACCATTGTACTCGTTTTTTCTACTCTTTTTTCAAACTGATCATTGTGTACGGAAGCGCCCTCAAAGTCTTCGTGGGAAATACTTCTTTCGACTTTAACTTTTCTACACAATCTAATAGTTTCAATTTTTGATATATTTCAGAGAGCGCCTTCTTTTCGGACGAACATATTTGATGTGAGTCAGCAAAGAATAAAATGAAGAAATCATTTCACTAAAAATCGCAAGTATGATCAAATTCCAAATAAATTTCAAATTATTGTAGAGAAGCTTACAATTCAACAAAACAATCTTACGCATGATGAATAACATTGGGCAGGTCCAATACTTTGTTAATAATCTTCTGGAGTCGCTGAAATACTTAACAAGGCCTAAGTAAGGAATCAGTCATTGAATGCACTGTCTACTAGGGCAGCTTCCTCCACTTCTCTTGAAATTTGACGAGTTTCTCGCCCATATTCCGGCTCTTATTTCCACCAAAGGTATCCCTACTCTTTCCCATAATGTTTCGATGGCGCTCAGGACATTGGTGTGAATTGTTCCCTTCGTTGAAAGCGCGCCATGCTGTCCCTCCTTCACAGTGAAGGTGCGATGCTTTTGGTCGCTCTATAGCTAGAAGGCGAACTCAGTCACGTACAGTTTCATACGAGCGGATACGAAACTCCTTCTAGAAATCTGATACGTCGGCATTCACCACTTCTCTAATCCTGTGCAGTTGTAAAACTTCTTTTACGGACTACCACACGCGAGCCTCCGCCAAGTTTTACATACGGCAGTTAATTCCTTGGATCGAAACGTTTTCCCTCAGGACCCCACACATTCCTATTTCAGTCGCCGGCAAACATCATGAATTTACTTCAATTCAGACTCATGTTCTGAGCGTCATCGAAACATTATGGGGAGGGTAGGGATACCTTTGGCAGAAATAAGAGCCGGGAATATGGGCGAGAAACTCGTCAAATTTCAAGAGAAGTGGAAAAAGCTGCCCAGTGGCAGTGCATTCATTGACTATTTCCATACTCAGGCTTTTCGGCAACTCCAGAAGTTCATTAACAAAGTATTGGACCTGCCCAATGTTATTCATCATGCGTAAGATTGTTTTGTTGAATTGTAAGCTTGCTAGAGTAATTTGAAACCTACTTGGAATTTGCTCATACGCGAGAATTTCTAGTGAAATGATTTTTTCCATTCTTAATTCTTTCTCAATCCGAAACAAATATGCCGTTTAAGTGAAGTAGGACTATCTCTAAAACATATTAAAATTTGAATTGATTTGATTCAGCGGAAAAAAAGTTACAGTCGAAAAAGTATTCCACCGAAGACTTTTGAGCGCTACTGTACGTAACGCACATTAAACTTCACTTCTATGTGCTGAGTAGGCTCTTTTTGGCTTGAAATCTCAGCATTCTTCATTCTTTTCTGCTTCAAATTTGTAGACCGAGCCGGATGTCTTCATAAAATTGTTTCCGGGCCTAGTTTGTCCTGTAGAACTCAGTTCACATTCATTTGGAGCGAAGGCACGCTAAGACGGAAATTTGTAGCCTACAGCAAATCTGGGTACTGTTGCGCTATTACAACCCCAAGAACGATCGGAAAATTTACCCTGAACTTCGTTTAGAAGGGTTGTCCGGTGCCCTAAACACCGATGCAAGATTAGTTTTTCAAGTTGTCGTACTTTGACACCCACTGACGGGAAGTTACCCGAGCACATGTGCGTGTACAATTATTGTGAGGATTAAAAGTGACCAGGGCCAGTAGCATTGTTTCTACAAAAGAGTAGAAAAAACGTTAGTTTGCAAATTTCTTATACATATTTTATAGGGACAATCCTACTATTTACTGTCTCTACTAAGTCTTTGATGCGAAGTATGGAGAGATATGTAGGAAGGGATAATCGCTATCTTCGTTTTGGCCGGCAGGAAAATCACTGTTTGAGAACGAAATCCTTTCTTCTCCTATTAAAAGGTCAAGGTGCCTCAGTCAATGGCCTTAAACAGCTTTAATCAGGGAACTTCAGCTGACACGCGTTTCACTCTTCATTGGCATCTCGCGTATTTGAACTTTGATGGGGAGCTCACTAACGGCGACATCTGGCACTTAACTATGCCCCTCCTCGCAAACTCGAGGCGCATTAAGACTTATGCTAAGTACGATCTAGCTGGGCGCAAATAATTCTCTGTAAACTTCAGAAAGAACTTCATTCCAATATCTGTCGTTTATACATTACAATAAACACTAGAAAACAGCAAACAATTGTGTTAGCGTCTAGAAACGAATGTCTTAACAACGTACTCGTATCGCAAGATGTGAGATCGAAATAGCTTAGCGAGGAACAATAAGACCCCAGCGCTGAAGGAAGACCACAAGGGCAGCTCATGCTATACCGTGTAAGCGGTCTTCCTTCCAGATGGAAAGATTTCACTGTTACCCATTGATACTACTACTCGTCTGTGCAGATCACCGACTGAACGGGTTCCTGGCCAGCATGAAGCAGTGGTCGCACGATCATGAGCTGCTCTGAGGTCAATGCATTCGCAGGAAATGTAGACAGGAGTGGTTGGCGGAGGAGAAGTCCACGATATTCATTCCAGATAGATGTCTTCCGTTGGATGAGCGAATGCCATGTATTCGTCGTACGAGCGCTTGAATGCCCTTCTGAAACATATCACATCAAAACTCCAAAACATCGTAGGAACACTTACAAGGGAGCTGGAAGCTGGAGTAGGCAGTGTGATGTGAACAATTTTATGCGTGTCCTTAGGGGGAACATTCAAAATAGGGTATTCAATAACTGCAAACTACGACTAGTGGTAAGCCCAGAAGAGGGAGAAGCGCCCGGGAGAAGTAAAATTCTAATACCTTCTCAGAATCCCCTCCCTTCCGTTCGAAATGTCATGAGTGGATCACTCACTCGAATATCCCTCCCTCCCCCCCCCCCAACGACATGAGCGTACAATGTTCCCCCTTCGTTCTTTCCTCTCACTCTCTGATGTCCAACCATGTCAACAAAGCCGAGTGTCGTTTACATTTCTACAAACTTCGCCAAGTTTATTTCCGACCCGCAAACTCCCCTTCCAGCGAATTCCAAAAACACACCACTCTGCCAAATGCGAATGCTGCCCTTAAAATAACTAAAATGTCTGCCTCATCCAGGCAAGCGACTGACCCTGTGTAGTAGAACATCGCAAGAAAGAACCAACAATTCAAGCAATTGGCTTACAGGAGCACTTAGGCTCCATCACCACCGACTATTCAGCGAATATCGGGGCTGGGATTAATTTTAGCGTTTTTGTTCGAGCGGCAGGACTGACTTTTCATTGAATTTCAACGTTCTGAATCAAGAATTTCTTCAATATCATAATTCAACACAGCAGGAGCGGTATGATCTCGCAATTTTTAGGTAGCTATACATAGCGGGTTTCCCAGTTCTCTACGGTGAAATATGTAATAGAGATGGCAGTCGAGCAGTAGACATAAACCACTCGTCGAGGAAATCCGAAGAACATCCCGCAATCCCCTTCAGTATCTAGAAGTTCTTATTCTCTCCATTAAACATAACTGTCTTGTCCGGAGAGCAGAGTAAACGGCTGGCTCTTTTCAAAAAATTCCTAGACCTTAATTCTGCTTCGAAAAAGAAACACTGCCAGTTTCAAGCAATACGTCCTACTGTCGCGGGTCAAACGGACTAGCATGAACTCGGTCCTTTAAGCCGCTTCAATCCGATGCTCGCGTCTGCGCTCTCTCGCCTTATCAGCTGGCGGTGACTACGGTTTCACACATTCAAACTTTTGCCACACTGTAGTTGGCTCACCCACCTCGGAGTCCCTCCCCCTTACAAGGCTTAGTCCTAGGCTCTCACCTCCTTCCTGGGATTTGGAGCCGAGCCAGGCGCCGTTCTCTAATGGTCTGTGGTCTCTGCTATTCGTGGCAGGACCTTAGGAGAAAAGCTCGAGTAGTCGTAAACCCACTGTCGGCAACCCTTCGATGTTTTTGCTCCGCTCACAAGTCTCGATTGGATGCAAAAAAGCGAAGTTTTTGACTTACAGTGCTGCCCTCCTTACAGCACATCTCAAGAACCTACTTAGAGAGGATATAAGATCAATCTCTACGGATCTTACTATTGTTTGCATTTGTCGAATATGGCCCCATACAGCAATGCCATTCTGAACAAATGTCAAATACGTGATGCAAATAATATGAATTCTATAAGGGTCCGGTTAACGCCATGTGCTTTATCTTTTAGCGTCAGCGTTCAACGAAATTCCCCCAACATGGCCGCTAATTCAACGAGCAGAATTGTTTTCGCGCATAACACTCGTTTCGCTTCCATTCGGAGCTTATGGGCTTACGCAGAACGAGCAGGAAAACGCACCCTATCGATTCAACAATAGGCTGAGTGGAGCTGCTGGAGAGGAATACATGACAGGCGAATCGTGGTAGCAGCGGATGTTTGGTGATGAATCCAAAGTATCTGAAACAGCAGTGGTGAAGGAAGAAAGGGTTGGAGAAGATGGATTGCTGACGTACTTGAGTTGCTTTGGGTGCGCTCCACAGAATGAAATATTTTGAAGGCTGTAGAAGAAGTCGAACGTCGGACATTGGAAGAACTGAAGATAAATGAGATTCGACGTGTGGCTACACCATTGGGTTTAAGGGACTCACGTTCTTTTTTCGTTTATCGATTACATGAATCCCCCGGAATGAAACTTCCATGAGCACCGTTTGCGGTACGATGATCTCCTCGTGGTTCTTATACATGGACAGCACCTAGAAGTGAAAGGGATAAATAATTGAGGAGGAACCACCAGGCGTTTCATAACAACGCTTCTTGAAGACATCTTTTCTTCTGTTGGAGCATCTTCCTCACTAACGGGCATAACAAAAACAGCTTTTTGCCGTTTTTGAAACATTGATATCCAAGAATTTGACTGTACAAAATGCAGAAAAGAACAATGAAACCTCACCACTTGAGGAAATAAGAACTGAAAAAGGAAATAAAAAAGGAAAAAGAAATAGAATAGTGGAATTTCAAATTTTTTTGACATATGATCTGATGTTTTCACAGGTATACTGGCTTATGGGCGAACCTCTCCGCCCCAGGCGGGACTCGAACCCGGCCATCTCGTTTTTCGGCCATTAGTGTTACCTAACAACCGAAACGTCGAAATTAACATGATAGAGATTTTAGCCCTGCCCCTGGTTTACTGTCGAAGTTGGCTATAAGCTCATCACGTGATACGTGTGAGTGCTCATAAGCTATGGTAAATAACTATCACAAGCTAGACTAACGAGAGAATCAAGCGGTGCCTCGGTGGTGTAATCGGAGGCACAACTCTTCGAAAATGAACAGATATGGGTTCAATTTCCGCCTGGAGCAAAGAGTTTTGCCCGGCCACTCACGATAAATTTTGCATGGTGGAATCTGGCCAAAACGGCAGTTGACTACCAAAAACAAGTCAAAATTGATATATGATATCTCAATGCAAATCATATACGATATAAAACGCAAGGGTTGCTGAAATTCACAGCTGTAAATAACCATAAAATATATAGGCGTTTAAAAAATGGAGACTGAAAAAAGATACTCAAAATATTCCAATGAAAAATGGATTGAAGGAGTCGTAACATTCAACTGTCAAAAAGAGGACTTATGTGTACCTTGTTCATCGCTTGTACGAGAACGTCGTTACCCTTGTGATGACCGACTTCGATTGACGCCAACATCGTCAGATAAAACGTGTCTCGTTCTGATTCCGTGACTTCTGGAAACATGATGTCTATGAAAGAAAACTGGAGAAACAGACTGCTAACGTAAGAAGACCAATTGCTTCACGTCGCCAGTTTCCCTGATCACGATCAAGTGGGACAATCCGCTCGTATAACGAGGTCAAAGGTTAGCGCAAAAGCTCGACAGGTGAAGCCTTGTACTTCGGATGGTGTAAAGGCTGGGTGGACTAGTAGACAACGGCTCCCCCCCCCGTGTCCAATGTACTCTATCTTGTGCTAAATTTCGTGTGAGGTGAGCAGAAACTTGTGATCGAAAATGTGCTCTTCAAGGAACAGCTGTATGGTGCCATCTGTTCACTGCACCCTAGTAAATTTTATCATACCAACAAAGTGGGCTTACCATTTAGATTCACGCGGGGCGGCGCGGAAAACCCGCTCCTATTATTAGAGTGCCACGTGATTTTAAGGGTTCCCAGCAGTTTTTGGGCTCCTTAATCACTGGCAAACCTTACATTACAATGGACCAATTTCAAGCCACTCTAACCTAATCTGTGTATTCGCGGAAAGTGTTTAAATAGGCGCATTGGTGTAAAACAATTAACCCTTCGTAAAGCAGTTGCTTTTGAAAAATTGCAAAGGTAAAGAAGGTAATTATGAAGGGCAGGAATCTCAAATTTGGAATAATGAAGAGTTGTTGCGCATCTGCACCAGATCCCAATAATGATCATATGTATAGGCACGACTAGGAGCTTTAGCCAGCATTGCAGGCGTGAGAGGATAATTACTATAGCACCAAGAAATTATTACTATGTGGGAGGGATGTTCCGCAAGAGAAGCCTTAATACGTGACGCATACGCCGCGAGATTGCCACTTTCTGGCTAACCACAGCTACTCAAGACAACTACAGTGCTGCAAGTTTGGTTGACTGTCTATGGCACTAACGATGCGGTCCGGCTATGGATTTGAAGTGGCTCTGGCCTGGGTAAGAAAGTAGAGTGGGGTAGTGAAAAATATAGGCGACAACACAGAATCTCTTCCCCCATCTTGACTCACTACACTAAATTCGACTACTTATAATCTCCTCATATTTCCCTTGGGCGAGAATCCGTTAAGCTTTGGCGGATCTGATGAAGCTCGTTCCGTCAGGGTTTGATCATGAGGGCAAAATTTTAGTCCAATCTCAAATATTTTACGATAGCTACGTTGGTGCAAATAATTGCGCAAATGCCAACACTTCCAACTGACGAGGTGGAACTGCTTTGCAGCCCGGGGGAAGGGGGTACTATGTACGCTTCAGTTCATAGTTTTCTACATGAACCCTAACAGAAGAAACATTCGGAGACATATTACCCTTATGTTTTTGGAGCCATTTGTCAGAGCTGCTGTCACTCATGTATGTAGATTGCACCAAGATAACACCCGCAGTAGCCCCTGACAGAGCCAAATAATCTCAAACAACTCACTGGAGGCGTTGGACGGCAAAGCTCCGAGACAGATTTCTTCCACGATGTCGATTTCACACACAACAGCTGAAGGAAATATTCCTGTCATACCCGTTCGAAGATTCGTACCTGAAAAATCGGCGAGCTTATTTTTTGAAGAGCAAAAGGGCACCAGAATGGACCTACCATAGCACCAATGGTCCTCACATGTTCGGTCAACGTGTACCGCATCACCTATGTCGAGAAGGACTTCATCGGAGTGCCTAGAGATTGAAGTAAAGTATGTCATATTTTGAGTACTTTGAGAAAAACAACTGTAAAAATAGGATTCAAGGGATTCCTTAACTAACCTTGGAATGAAGGCTGACTGAACTCTGTGTGTGGGATTGAGACTGTCGGACGTCGTACACGAGGAAACACCGCTGGAGTCGTCTGGAGAGAAAAATGCTGAAATTGTCGAAGCTATCTAGAAGACCTCGCAGTCTCCGTCATAGAAATTTGCGAATTTCCGTACATTTCCGTTGCTTCACGTGGGGATTGCCGTTAATTCCGTCCTCTTCGTAGTACGAGTCCTCAAATGCGCTTCGTCCCATCATCGAATCTGTCATTCCTGGAAAAACCAAATGGCTTTCAATTGTGGAGAAATGCGGAGCCTAGACAAATCTCACTAACCATCAATAAAGCACAGTGTATGATCTTGAGGTTTGGACGCATTCTGATGTGATGGCATGGACATGGCTGGATAGCGTCCAACTAGTGAAATCGGCAAAAGTGGAAGTCGGCGACCCGTCAGCGAAGGAGGCGATGGGTTCACTGAAAATGCTCATAGTAGGGATGTGCCGCTGGCGCACTCATGAATTCGCAAGCATCTTCAGTAACGAGCACCGTCTGCTCTGCGTCAGCATCAACAAGGAACTGCGCCAACCATGAGGCACGTAGTGAAGAAAAGTTCGGGGCAAAAAGCAAAGAGCAAAACATTGAAAAAAAAGCAATGACGTCCAGTCCTACTCCCAATGAAGCTCAGCTCACCATCAGTGATAGTTGGTTCTACATGGTTAAAAGCTAACCATCACCTTGGAAAAAAATTTTCGAAATCGCGACGATTGTGACTTCATAAATACAATGGGTTCCCAATCACAATCCCATAGGGTTCCCAATCAAATCCCATACGATCCCATGACCCTCTTCCAGTTCCATAGGAAACACTTGAACCTGCCGGCAGAAAAATTTGAAATCACTTCACCCACTCCAATTCCGCCACAATG